TATATAGGCATATAGATAATCAATCAATTCATATCAAGTCAACAATCAATCACAAGTCAATCACAACTACTGTCTATTATGGTTTCGAATTAACAAAAACATTCACTCACACACACTCACACACACACCGTACTAGTAGTACTAAGAGATGTGTAGTAGATATTAGTGACCGAAAGAAATATGAATTCAAGCAAAAACTCAACCAATTGTACATATATAATTAAAAATTAAATCAGTATCAACTAGATAGATATAAGAGCATGCATTGAAGTCGTTCAACTAAAACAAAATGGAGGAATGTGTATATATAGACACACACACATACACATCTATATTCATGTATATATATTATTCTATGATAGACAGACAGACAGACAAAAAATAAAACCATTTGTTTATTTAAACTCCCTGATCATTTAATTAATACATTCAGTGTCCAATTTTATAGATATATGTATATATATGTATTTAATGATATACACTAAAATAGACGAGAATTAAAGAATAAATAAAGATAAACATGTACTGATTTATTGATTGATTCATGTAACATTTATATAATCTGTACGTATAAGTTTATTTTTTTATAAAATGACAAAAGCTTCTTTTTTTTGTTCAAAAAGAAAACAATACCTAAATAGGTAGTAGTAGTGTGGTGTGAGCTACTTATAAGTAGTATATGACGTGAGTGTCAACGTAATGTCTGGCAGCAAAGAAGATAGGGGGGAAGATCAACAAGAAAGGAAGAGTTAGAAGAACACAATGGAATTTGTATGGAACGTATGAATAGTGAGTGACAATGGATTGATGTTTGGCAACAGGAACAGTCCAGTTCGATATGATGATGAACTGATATTTTGCAAATTAACTAACGATTTACGATATGGTTTTCCTATTTTACTGAGTAACTGCGTAATTTTCGTTAAATACAATTCGGTTGCCCCACCTGTGTTCTCATTCACTACAGTAGTAGTGTGGTGTACGCTACTTATGTTCACATAATTAGTAGTATATGATATCAAATTGGAAATAAAACGTCTGAAAGCAAAAAGATCGAGACAAAGATCGAGAAGGAAAGAATGAGAGAACATGAAGGCGATTTGTAGTGTAGGTAACGAGCGTAAAGTGAACTGAAGTCTTCTGAACAGTCTGAATGTGAAAGAACTTTGAAATCTGAAACAAAATAGGGATTCGTTTTGCAAATGATGAAGGTTTCATCACGGGAAGATTTTGTAAATATGCCGCCTAACAACTCTGAATGCAACTATAAGCAAACAACAGATAAGGGCGAAAATATGAAAACAACAAAAATCAATACAGTAGAGTTTTTCGGGTTATTTGCACATTTTAGAATTTAGAATTAAAATAAAAGCACAGAAGAAGTGTCAATAAACATGGGAAATTTCCCTGATTGTGTTTCCCCATGTATCTATCATTTTGGTTGATCGATAGATAGTATTGAAATTCGCAGGTGTATATAATATACACCATGCATATTGAAATAGAAATGATGTTATAAGCTTTTAAAACAGGACGTAGCAATACAATACAATTATTCCATGTTATTTTCAATGTAGTAACTATAAATAGCAGGAGAGATGGGTAATAATACATTTGAAATCATAAAATTGATCAAAGTTAGACTAGCATTAGAAACCTTGGAGAAGCACTGGATGGCCGTTTCGTCCTGGTATGGGACTGACTCATCAGTGACATTGCGCACCTCGAAGGATTCGAACCCAAGGAGTAAACGCTAGGTGACCATTGAAATAGGTCATAAAACGAAGCAAATTCTTTTTTGTTCTGTTTATTTTTCTCAAGTTATATACTGATATAGAAATGGATTTTAAAGTTAATTAAGTCAGCAAATAAACTAATTATCACATGAAATCAATAACACATTTGACATAACTAAGTATAGGTGTTAAATATTCAATTGTTTTGAAGATAATTATAAACAATCGGTTTACAAATAATAGGAAGGAAATAGGATTGGAAGAGGAAAAATATCGATCACCGTTGTTCATTGTTGAAAAATATAAATACGTTTGTAAGTTTTTCAAATCAATATGAGATCTATAGACAAATTATAATTATTATTGTCTAAATAATGAGCCAATCATTGTTAGACCAGTATTAGAAACCTGGAAGTGATTGGATGGCCGTTTTGTCTGATACTATGGCACTCATCAGCAGTGCGTATCCACGAGTCCCACTGGCGGGAGTTCAATCCAGGCCATTCGGTCTTCCATGCACGAACGCCTAACCTTTGAACCACTAAGCCAGCATCCAATGGTGTTAATGTCTAATTTCGATCAATCCACAACCTTACGCAACCTCATACAATGTCTTGGCAGCATTGCTTCATACCCGACACAGTTGAACTCTACTAGCCATAACCTCTCACGTTCAAATACTCAAAGTTATTTTATGCGCGTTATTCAGAATATAAAACTTGCAATTATTTTAACAATTACTATTAGGTAAGTCATTGAAATTTACCAATTATCAGAACACACTGACTTCTTCACATTTATTGTCTAGTTATATTATGGATATTAGTTAATTTTGTTATTTGCTCAGGTAAGATCACGAACTAATCATCGCTGAAAAGCAGCAAGAGCTGGAATTCCCCAGAAGTGCATGTTCCTGACCCAAAGCATAGAAACCCGGTTCATGATATCCGATTCTGCACGCGAATGCTTAATCCTTAGACTGATAAGTCTAACATTGACAAGTCTTTTATTCCAACTGTGAAAATACAAACTCCATCGTAAATAATTCTGTTAATTGATTCAACTTTTTGAATACTCTAATGGTTGAACTTATTGTCATGATTGATATTTAAAGTTATGTGCCTGGTTTCCTTATTATTTAACAGAATTTGACTAGTAATTCAAGTTCATGTGACGACATATTCCAATTTTATAACTATACTACTTAATTTTATTATCAGTAGTCTAATAAAATTGCGAAAGTAAATAATGGCATATTATCACAATGTACATAAGAAAGGTTTAAATTTTAATGAAATGAAATTCATTTCAAAATATATCATTGCATGTATGCTGTTTTTTAACATTAGAAAAAAAAATTAAAATATCAACGTTGTTTGTTAACAATGTGAACTCAATACAACGTAACTTGGAAGCACTGAAAGACAGCTATCAAAGCCTGGTATGAGACTACTCACCATCAAGTGTACATCCGTGACTATTGCTACAATCACAAGATTAGAACCCAGGACATTCGATCTTGTGCACAAACGCCTAAGCTCTCGAAAACTAAGCAGGCGTCCAACAGCTTCAATGACTAACTCTGATCAATCTAAGGATTTTGCGCAACCCTATTGATTATCTTCGTTATTTACCGCCCATACTCGGTAGGGTTGAACTCCATTAGTCATGTATTAGCTTGATGGATTAGTGAAATATATAAATCGGTGTAAATATTCTACAAACTTGTACTGTCTTTTATATACATTGAAAGGTAAACACCTAATACTAGCTAATCGAAGATATCGCGTGCGTTAAATGATTTTATCATAACGCAATTTAATTTAAAAAAATATATAATCTTGAATTATTGATGAAGTAAGTACTGATATAATCTTGTTTCAATTCTAAGAGTGTCAATGTACTCTAACCAGAAATTCAATGTTTTTATTTTTGTGTCCGGTTTGTATGCTGGCTCTTAAGTAGTATGCAGTCAGTCAGTCAGATGCAAAGTAGAACTTCGTACGTAAGTACATCACTTCATGTCGCCATACCACGTCAGCACAGAGATATAATTGTCAATTCAAATCCAACAGAAGAAGAGGGAATTAAAGTATTAAAAGTAATCGGAGAGGTTAGGATGAGAAGATATTATTCAAGAAGTATGATTCATTGAGAAAAGTTTAGAAAGTCAAAACTGGAGGGGTTGAAGAATCCAGAAGATTAGGATTTGAGAGAACACAAAGAATAAATTCACCGGCGCCATTGCGAACGGTTTTGAGCCATGTGATTCAGGGTCTCTAACCATCGATTATTATCATCTCGCGGACCCCAACCAGGTAGTCGACAACTACCTACATGACTCTCCACTCGTCGATGATTTCATGGATTTCTTCCATGTTTTGGTCTGTCCACCCCTAACTTTCTTCCAACCTATTCCTACACTGTAAAACAAAGTTCGACGAGGCAGTCGGTGGTTAGGCATACGCAACACATGTCTCAACCATCTCAACTGATGAAGTTTCACCACTTCATCTATTGATCTGCCATTCTTACCTAGCACCCGATTCCTAATAACAGCGTTGCTCACTCGGGTGTCCCAGAATATACGAGCAATGTTTCGAAGACACCTATGATCGAAAACCAGTAACCCACGTTTATCTTCTACTCTCATTGGCCATGTTTCACAGCCATAAAGTAAGACGGAGCGAACCACTACACAGTACACTCGTCCTTTAGTCAGCAAACGGATATCTCGCCTACGCCGTAAGTGACGCAGGTTGGCAAAACCTACTACTTAAGTAGTATGCATCGAAACTTTGCTTTGAACTTGCTAGGATGAACAGAGTGCATTGAAAGAAGATAGTCAATAATCTGACTGTATCGCAAGTGAATGTCTAAAGTGTAAGTATGTGTACATATTTTGTAAATAGACTGTGTCCACTTCTCTAAATATCAACGAAATCATTAGAAATTGTAGTGATCAAGTGATAAGCTACCCATTTTTTTTACTAGCTAAATAACACACATTTGTATAATCAATTTACAAATGACGAACAGAATCCTGCGGGGTGCAGGAGTCGTGGATGCGCACTGCTGAGGAGTCACATACCAGGAAGAAACGGCCCCAGTCCAGTGCTTCCAGGTTTCTAATGGTGGTCTACTAACATTGATCGATTCATGGTTTCAAAAAATGTGTAACTTAACAATCTTCACAATCCCATAATGCAGATAACAAACAGACAGGTTATTAGAGAAAAATAAATATTTTATTGATAAACTTACCACCTGCAGGAGGAACAAGTTGATCTAACAATTTATTACTTGTTCTTTTCCAAATTTTTTTAATGACAGCACGTAATTCTTCATTTAGCTGATCAATTGCTGCACCTTTAATTAATTAATTAATTAATTAATTAAATAGTAATAGTAATTATTATTATTTTTTATTATTATTATTATCATATAATTATTATTAATTTGTTTCATTTCTGACAAGGTTGCTTACTCTCACCCTTTCTCTTTCTCCTGGTCATCGACTGGATTATGAAGACGTCAACATCTGGAGGGAAGCACGGTATCCAATGGACAGTTAGGACGCATCTGGACGATCTGGACTTCGCAGATGACCTGGCTCTACTATCGAACACGCAACAACAAATACAAGAGAAGACGACCAGTGTAGCAGCAGCCTCTGCAGCAGTAGGTCTCAACATACATAGAGGTAAAAGCAAAATTCTCCGATGCAACACAACATGCATCAACCAAATCACTCTTTATTGAGATGCCTTGGATGACGTTAAAACCTTTACATATTTGGGCAGCATCATCGACGAGAGAGGTGGATCCGATGCAGATGTGATGGCGCGGATCGGCAAAGCAAGGGCTGCATTTCTAAAGTTGAAAAATATCTGAAACTCCAAACAACTTTCAAACAAAATCAAAATCAGGATTTTCAGTACAAATGTCAAGACAATTCTACTGTATGGAGCGGAAACCTGAAGAACTACCAAAACCATCATCGAGAAGATACAAGTGTTTATTAACAGTTGTCTACGCAAAATACTTCGGATTCGTTGGCCAGACATGATCAGCAACAACGTACTACTGTGGGAGAGAACAAACCAGATTCCTTCAGTGGAGGAGGAAATGAGGAAGAAGTGGTGGAAGTGGATAGGACACACACACTACGAAAAGCACCTAACTGCGTCACGAGACAAGCCCTCACATGGAATCCTCAAGGCAAAAGGAAAAGAGGAAGGCCAAGGAACACATTATGCCGAGGAATAGAGAAAGATATGAGAGGAATGAACAAACTTTGGACAGAACTGAAGAGGGAAGCCCAGGACAGACAGAGTTGGTCAGAGAAAACTGGTAGGCGGCCTATGCTCCATTGGTGGGTAACAGGCGTAAGAAAGAAGAGGAGAATAAAGTTCTACATGGCAACTGACTTACTGACTGATTGACTAAACTGAACTAGGAGATCATATGTTTGTTTCAACAACTAAAAACAAACCAACATTTCTATTTGAATGATAATAAAATGTAATTAAAACTTCGCGAGAAAAAGTAGACAAATTTACAAAACAAAATAATATTCATATTCTTTTTTCATTAAAATATCGACGAATCATTCAAAACAGACATATATATAAACATATATATATATATATATATCAACAATCACCAAAGCTTACCTTCAGTTTTAATTTTTAAATTAGTACGAACCAATGCAAACAATGTGGCATTGAACATAACAGTGCCATCACTATTCAATGGCATATTCATACGTACTAAAGTCTAGGGGAAACAATAAGCGGAAGAAAGAAAGTAAGAAGATTGAAACATTTGTGTAAACGATAAAAATAAAGATTAGTAATGAGTTTGTATTACGGGGTTGTGAAGATTGTTAAGTTACACATTTTTTGGGAACCATGAATCGATCAATGTTAGACCACTGGTTAGGGCGTTCGCGCACAATACCGAAGGTCCTGGGTTCGAATCGTGCAGGGTGCAGGAGTCGTGGATGCGCACTGCCACTGAGGAGTCCCATACTAGGACGAAACGGCCCCAGTCCAGTGCTTCCACGTTTCTAATAGTAATTAATGAGTTGTTAATTATAATGGGCAAATAGAAATATCTCGTTTGGAATTTCGTTGAAACTACTATGAATTGAACATTGTTAGACAATCATTGGAAACCTGGAAGTACAGGAAGATCTGTCAACTCCTAATAGTATGAGACTCATCAGCAGTGCGTATCTACGTACCCTGCACACGAGATTCGAGCGCAGAATCTTTGGTCTCGTGTGTGGACACTTAACCTATAGACCACTAAGCCAGAATCCAACGGTGTTAACACACAGCATTGCCCGACCTCATCCATATTATTCTATGGGTAAAACTGACTCACAACTGACTGGATTGAACTCAGCTGGTCACAGATTCTCACCAGAACTCCAAGAATTTCCTCATGAATTTAATAGTCACTAATGTACACATGATATGGTTACAGAGTTATGTAGATTATTGAGTTTCATTAAAATTAATGCTAACAGGTTTTTAATGCTGATCTAACAACAATGATTGATTGATAATTTTTAATGAGATTAAATGAATATTTCAACAATCAAGTTTTTTTTTTTGAAAAAAAATTCTTCTAGGTCATAGGCATAGGCATTTGATCAATCAACCTTCTTCAACTCTTCAATATGAGGAAAAATTCAATTCATAATAATGAAATGGATTGTTTAATTATTCTATCTATTCAAAAAATTTTTCATAAAATTTTTCTGATTCATTCACAAGTGATCTGACTGATTGATATTTACTATGACATGACAAAAAAAAAATATTTTTTCTTTTAAAATTAAAATGTACATGAAATTTCACGGAATAATCATAAATTCGATCAAGTTTAATTAAATTAACTATTGAAAATTTGAGAACAATAAAGTCTACTACTACATAAGTTACTTAGGGATTTGTTGACTAGATGTTACCATCACTGACAGTCAAACTATGGGAGAGAATATACCAGATATTAGCTGAGAAAGAAATCCGACTGAAATGTTACAGGTGGATAGGACTTATATATATATTGTAGAAAGCTCAAAGTTTAATCACGAGACAAGTACCTAATTTGAAATCCTTCAGGACAAAGGGAAAGAATTAGTAAAAGAAACATATTGCGCCGAAAATTGGAGACAGATATGAACAGAATGCATAGCGATTGGCTAGAACTGAAAACAAACACCCTAGAACATAATTGGTTGAAGAACTCAAGTCTGCAGCTTATGCTCAACAACAACAGGTGTAAGTAAGAAGCTAATTAAATGGTTTCACAAGTTGTAAGCAATAGATTCCATGTATATTAAATATAAAATAATAATAACATCCTGAAATCATCAATTCATCAATGATTGTTAGACTGTGGTGCGAGCTACTTATAAGTAGTATATGACGTGAGTGTCAACGTAATGTCTGGCAGCAGATGATGGGGGAACAGCAAGAAAGGAAGAGTTAGAAAACAATGGAATTTGTTTGAAACGCATGAATAGAGGTGACAATGGATTGATGTTTTGCAACAGGAACAGTCCATTTCGATATGATGAACTGATATTTTGCAAATTAACGATGTATACGATATGGTTTTCCAATTTTACTGAGTAATTGTGTAATTTTCGTTAAATACAATTCGGTTGCCCCACATGTGTTCTCCTTCACTACAAGACTAACATTAGAAACCTGGAAGAAGCACTGGACGGCCGTTTCGTCCTGCTATGTGGGACCCATCAACAGTGCGTATCCACGACACCTGCATCTTGCAGAATTCAAACCCATGACCTTCGGTCTTGCATGCAAACGCTTAATCTTATGGACCATTGGGCCGGCATCCAACAGTGTTAATATCTAACTCTGATCAATCTAAGTTATTTTGCACAGCATCACCCAATTGTCTTCCGTAGACAACTGTCTGTATCTGACAGGGTTGAACTCTCCACTGATCACGTCTTCTCACTAAAATCTCGAGAATTTCCTCACGACCCTAGTCACTAGTGAACAGGAGTCGTGGATGCACACTGCCATTGATGAGTTCTATATCAGCGCAAGACTGCTGTCTTTCAGTGCTACTTCCAAGTTTCTAATATTGTATACGTCTGTGATTCACGATCTGAATATTATCGTCATTGATTATCGTTGTTTAGGCGAGAAGAAATGAGTTTTTTTATAGGGACTTAGAGTGTGACACTTTTTTTACCTAACTAAATTAGGACGCATTCATCGCCACCTACAAATTATAAACTTCAAAAGATATATAACTGCAATGATTGATCTATGTAGTCAATGTAAAAGTAATAATGAGTATTTCATGCGGAAATTCAATTCAGACAAGAATTTATTAGTCATTAAATTAGATAAAACGACGCATAATTACATAAAATACAATGAATCATATTCCTGGCGAATCAAACTGACATTTCAAAAGCTATGGTCATGTATGTAGGAAGTATGACAGAAAAAATTGATGATTATTATTATCCAAACTCAATCATCTTCGAAATTTCGCCAAACACCTAACTAACTACTCTATAGAGTTTACTGGAAGTTCTCAGCTGATGATGGCTACGCAACTTTGGACATTTCAAATTCATTAGATCGTCGTTATTAGATATACTGAAACACTTAGTGAAATTATTGAAACCGCTTACAACAAACTGTGCACAGAGCTGGACGAAACAGCTGAGTCTTTCAGTGCTTCTTTCAGGTTTCCACTAGTGGTGATATTTACGATCAATATGTTTTGAGTGCTAAATAAATCTGATGTAACAATGTGAGGTACAGTGTCAATCAGTTTGAAGTCACTTCATAGTAACCGTTGTTCTTTCTTGCTGGGCTTGAAGATTACACCCAAAATAATCGTTCTAATGCACTGACTGTTACAGGTTTAATCTATCAGTTATAGTTTATGATTATAGTCATAGTATGACATATATATGCTACAAAATTAACACCGACTAATCTTGTGATAAATTTACACTGAAGTTTTTATAGGAGAACCCAACATAGACAACAACAATAGTTCATCAACACAGTAAAATGACAGACAGACAGACTAATACAACACAAGCACGACTTCTTACGTAAGTACATCAGTTCAGGTTGCCATGCCCCATCAGCACAGAGATGCAACTGTTAGTTCAAATCCAAGAGTGATAGTGATAGTAGAAGTATTAGCAGTAATGGAGAAGATTAGGGAGCGAAGATATGATATGAGTCGAGAAGTTTAATTCAGTAAGATAAATTTAAAACGAGAAAGGTAGAGATTATGAGGAATGCAGATGGCTAGAATTTGTGAGAACACAAAGAGTGGATGCACCTGCGCCACTACAAACGATTCTGAGCAATGTCATCCAAGGTCTCTAACCATTGGTGATTATCGTCTCGCAGACCCCTACCAGGTAGCCTACATCTACCAACATGACTCAGACCACTTGTCAGTGACTTCATGCATTTGTGCCATGTTTTGGTCTGGCCGCACCTAACTTTCTTACAATCTACTCATACACTGCAAAACATAGCTCGTATATCCTGTATTGCTCGTATATCCTGGGACACCCCGAGTGAGCAACGCTGTTATTAGGAATCGGGTGCTAGGTAAGAATGGTAGATCAATAAATGAAGTGGTAAAACTTCATCAGTTGAGGTGGATGGGACATGTGTAACGTATGCCTAACCACCGACTGCCTCGTTGAGCTTTGTTTTGTAGTGTAGGAATAGGTTGGAAGAAAGTTAGGGGCGGTCAGACCAAAACATGACAGAAATCCATGAAGTCATTGACGAGTGGACTTAGTCATGTCGGTAATTGTCGACTACCTGGTTGTGGTCCGCGAGATGATAATAATCGATGGTTATAGACCTTGAATGACATGGCTCAAAATCGTTTGCAATGGCGCCGGTGTATTTATTCTTTGTGTTCTCTCAAATCCTAATCTTCTCGATTCTTCAATACCTCTAGTTTTGTCTTTCTAAACTTTTCTCACTGAATCATACTTCTTGAATAATATCTTCTCATCCTAACCTCTCCGATTACTTCTAATAGCTTTACTACCTCTTCTACTATTGGATTTGAATTGACAGTTACATCTGTGTGCTAATAATGTGGTATGGCAACATGAACTGATGTACTTACGTACGAAGTTCTACGTTGCATGCGACTGACTGACTGACTGACTGACCACCTCAACTGATGAAGTTTCACCACTTCATTTATTGATTTGCCGTCCCTAACTAGAACTCGTTTCCCAACGAGTTTCTCATTTTACACAGCAGTTGGTGAAGAATTTGAAGATCAAATGTAGACAGATCATCGCAATGTTCTGTTCTGCATATTTTTATTGTCTCAATCACATCTGTATTGAAGTCTGTAGATAATGATTTGTAATAATTATATTCTGTTTCCTTATATATATATATATATATATATATGTATATATATATATATATATATATATATATATATATATATATATTACCAGATGTCAGAAACCTCAGTGAAAATATTTGTTATAAACGAAGACATATTCTACTTTAATTTACAATTAAGTAATATATAAATTACCACTTAATTCCGTTGTTTGCAACTCAATAAAAAAAATGGAAATATACAACTTGAAACATCATACACGTTGTCTGATAATGGATGCATTGCATTAGGTTTTAACTCTACTCACACAATTGATCAACGATCAGTTGCTAAACTGTTTTTGAAATATCAAGATCAAGTTGAATTTTGCGTGATTGTGTTGAATTTTACAGACTCAATCCTAAAAACAAAATATGAAGCAGGTAGACGTATATATATATATGTCAGTTATTCAAACAACACATCTTTTCCACACGCATACGCATGAAAGTGTTGTTCAATGTAGTTAGAAGAGTGTACATAATCAGATAACTAACTGGATGTTGATAAAATCTTGTGGTTATCATTGTTCCAAAAAACCAACAAACACACTTGATTCTATCATAGTGTGGTGTGAGCTACTTATAAGTTGTAGTATATGACGTGAGTGTCAACGTAATGTCTGGCAGCAAAGAAGATGGGGGGGAAGATCAAGAAAGGAGGAAGAGTTAGAAGAACACAATGGAATTTGTATGAAACGCATGAATAGTGAGTGAAAATGGATTGATGTTGTTTGCAACAGGAACAGTCCAGTTCGATATGATGATGAACTGATAATTTGCAAATGAACGATTTACGATATGGTTTTCATATTTTACTGAGTAACTCTGTAATTTTTCTGTTAAATATACAATTCGGTTGCCCTCACCTGTGTTCTCGTTCACTACAATAGTTAGTAAGTACATAACCGAATTTTCTCATTCCTTATTTATTATTCCGATCTATTGAATAAATTTTTCTTCAGTCTTATTTCACTTCCGTTTTTTTTGTGAAAAAGAGAACAAACCAGATTCCAGTGGAGGAGGAAATGAGGAAGAAGCAGTGGAAGTGGAAAGGACACACATTGCGGAAAGTACCTAACTGCATCACGAGACAAGTCCTCACATGGAACCCTCAAGGCAAAAGGAAAATAGGAAGGCCGAGGAACACATTACGCCGACAAATAGAGAAAGATATGAGAGGAATGAACAACATTTGGACAGAGCTGGAAAAGGAAGCCCAGGACAGACAGAGTTGGTTGGAGAATGCTGCTGGTGGGCGGCCTATGCTCCATTTGGGGTAATGGGCGTAAGTAAGTAAGTAAGTCTATTGAATAAATTTTTTCAGTCTTATTTCGCTTCCGTTTTCTTTTTAAGAAAAAAAATGAATTTTTTATTCACAGTTTGCCTGTGTGTGTGTGTGTGTTCACAGTTAGCAAGCAAGCAAATAAAAAAATGCAACTTGATTTCATAAGATGCGTTAATCGATCAATCAATCGATCAATCAATCTGTTTGTTTGTTACATAACCGGTTGTTTTGCGAGAAAAAAACTCAACAAAAAACAAGCAGCTCACTCCATGACCTCATAAATTAGTGTAAAAAAATGTTGGTTTCTGAATTCATTGTTTAATGGCATAAAGAGTTAGTTAAATCGATAATGAATAAGACAAAAATTTGAACAACAAGGATAAAAGAAAAAACAAAAAATAACTTATAACTAATGGAATGCGTAGATTAAGTCAAATTCACGCTCAACTGAGCATAGGTAAGTTTACATTGGGTTTTCAGGAGAAACAAACACTATCCACAATTTGAATAGTACTAAAGCTCAATGCTATGGTGCAACCACCTCACACACAGGTACTTAACACCTCCACAGTAGACCATTCACACCATTTTTATGTACAAATAATACTTGTAGTGGTTTAAATTACTTTGCTTTCCTGGTTTAAATTATTTTTTCTGGTTAGCGATTTTGTAGCGAGTCTGTTTTTTTTACAGGATGGGGTCGCCAACTGCATGCCCAACCCTCCTAGTTTATCAGGGCTTTCGATCTGCATTGTAGCCCCAGAGGGGCTCCAGGTGGAGTTTCCGATTCATTCCACGATCGCGTCAATCAATATGCACAAAATGAACAGGATCATTTCACCCATTCAGCTAATATAGCTGTCAAACTTATTATTATTATTATTAGCAATGGTGATATGCAATACAGCAGCACCCTAATGAAAATTGCCCTCGGAAATGCTGCCAGTCAATAATCACCAGTAGTATCAATAAAGTCGGTTATCCTCCAAAACAATAAGCAAAACCTGCTAATGTACTGACGAACCATCCAAAATGTTCATCATGAACCTCTTGTCTCATAAAAAAACACCTTCATTTGTCGATAGAAACACAGCTCATGGTGCAAGCATTGATTGGCATAGGGTAGTCAGTCAGTTAGTTGCAACGTAGAACTTCGAACGTATGTACATAAGTTCATATTGCGATACCACATTGTTAGCACAGAGACGCAAATGTCAAATCAAATCACATAGTGATAAAGATAGTAGGAGTATTGATGGTAATGAAGAAGACTAGGGTTTAAGATATTATTCAAGAAGTATAATTCAGTGAGATAAGGTTAGAAAGACAAAGGTAGAGGTGCTGATGAATCCAGAAGATGAGGATTTGAGAGAGCACAACGAATGCATGCACTTGCGCCATTGCAAACGATTTTGAGGCATGTAGGTTCAAGGTCTCTAACCATCGGTGACTTTCGTCTCGCGGACCCCAACCAGGTAATCTAAATCTACCAACATGACTCAGTCGACTAGTCAGCGACTTCATGGATTTGTGCCATGTTTTGGTCTGGCCGCCCCTAGCTTTCTTCCAACCTATTCCTATACCACAAAACATTGCTCGTCGAGGCAGTCGGTGGGTTAGGCATACGTAACACATGTCCCAACCACCTCAATTGATGAAGTTTTACTACTTCATCTATTGATTTGCTATCCTTACCTAGTACTCGTTTCCTAACGACAGCATTGCTTATTCGGTTGTCCCATGATACACGAGCAATGCTTCGGAGACATCGATGATCGAAAACTAGTAACCTGGCATAGGGTAGTATGAGATGCTGCCCAATTTGACGCGAATGGGCTCGAACATTTGGCTCATTAGTTATTTTTTTCCGTTTTGTTTTGAAAACATATAACCTGAATAGTTTAACAGAGGTGGATAGTGGCCAACGGTGGGATCCAAGAGGCATGTGTAGTCAGTTCTATTAGGGAACACGCTGGATGTACCTGTCAGAGTTGTGATCTTAATTGTCGGACTCGTTAAAAAAATACGCTTGTAATCTGAATGTAATAATATCAAGACAATCCATATCGGGTGCACATATTATCAAGAGAAACTGATCAATTGTAGTCTTAAACATCAACGGGAAGATTTAACACAATCAATCTAAGTGAATTAAACAGTTTAGGAATATATTTGTAGTGCCTCCACATATATTCCAGTTCGCTTACATCTAACATGGTTAAGCCCTTTCGATTAATTTATTTAACCAAGCCATTTTTATTGCAACAATTTATATGTACCATTCGTTCTTATTATTATTGTCTGGTTTGTATGATGAGCTCACATGAAGTGTTCCACTTGTCGTTTGACCTTGTCAACTATTCGTCGCTTTTATTCATGTGTGCCTATTTTGCTTGTCTCATGTCTGTCTGACTATATATTCTTAGTCACGCTTTATCTCTTTGAGTTGGCTCATTAGCCTTCTCCAACGCGCTTCGCATGTTCATTCGCTTCCTTCGCCCATTCGTTCGCATTGTAATCCAAGGAGTTAGCGCTCATTAGCCTTCTCCAACGCGCTTCTCCAATTCACGTCGCTTCATTTGTTTTATTCACTGCTTCTCCGCTTCGCTTTGTGGTGTGTCCAAAAATAAATGTATTCAACACTACGAGTTCACCTTCTGATTTATAAACCGTCAGACGCTAGTTAGTAACGATTGTTGTCTGCGAGCTTGGGAACACTCAGTTAATCGACACACTACATATTCATAGTTTGTCATCAACACTAATGCCTTGATTCCGCGTCTGATTCAAATTGCAAGTACAATAAATACACTGAATTGTGTGCTTCAATTATTCTTTCTGAATACTAAACTTATTCATATGTGACTGTTAGATCAGTCAGTATACAAAAAGTATGAATACTTCCACGTATCATTATATCACAATAATAAACAAACAGACAGTTTTTATATTTAGAAAGTAAACTGATGATGACAAGTCAATGACCTTGTTGAGAGGTTAATCAGTGTTTGTGAATTGTGAAAATAAAAAACCTCAGAAAATCTTAATTTCTACTTTGTACATTTTATTTTAGTTTAAAAAAAAATAATAGTTTATTTAAGTTAGAAATGAAATCATTTTTACCAAGCTATTTAATTTAGTTTGCTATTTATAGTAGTTTTTTGACCTTGAAATCATGAATGAATCATTGTTAGACGACCATCGGAAATCTGGAAGCGCTAAATAGCTCAGCCATTTCGCCTTGGTATGTGAATGATCAATTCCTGCGACTCGCAGGATTCGAACCCAAGACCTTTGTAATATTTTCCCGACGGTAGCTGCAACCTTGACTTTGTGGTTGGGTTTGTTGCCTAGCACGATGACCCAACCGAGCTATATTGTATGGAACATATGTGTTATAGCATGCCAGGCAAGTCGATTGGAGAACGATAAGACTAAAAAGCAGCTAGCTACTCAAGGTCTGAGGGCGACGTCGTACTATTGAATGTACAAGGATATGACAGCAGTAAGGTGTTTCCCTCAGAAAACCAGCATCTTCAGTCAGGCTACGTTCTCAGAAGGAAGGAGGAGGAGGAGATTAGAAAAGGTTGATCCTAAAAATGTCACACCTCCTCTTACTTCATGCATGGATTTCCATCTCCGGTAGTAGTAAGCCATTTGCAGAGCGGAGCTCTAATGCTTCCAAAACATCTCACGTGTTACCGGCCTCAAGCAGTTTTCCCTTGGACTTTGTGATCACGCTACCAGACTGCTAAAACCAACACTGATCCAACTTCATGTTCAGTTTCCTTAAGAAACACTTTCCCACAATGTGGGCATCTGGAAAGTAACACATCCACCTTCATACTCGTAACAGTACACACCGAACTGGTAACCGAACCGGTCTCACAATCAAATCCTTCCTAATAATTTACAAAGACTGATTGACAAGTTGAAAATAAATTTCAATATATTACACATAATACACTTACCACACATGCAGTACGATGTGGACATAATTTACCAAAACCTAATGGTGGAGATATTTTACGAAGTAAAGTCACTACATCCAAATGTTTAATTCGTCCTCTGGAGAAAGAAAGGAGGGAAGATTTAGATTTATGAATGAATCAATGTAATTTTTTTATAGATGTTAACAAAAATAAAAACGCCAAATTGAAGGTGATTTAAAAAAAAAAATGAATCTGATGACCTCAGAGTCATATCTTGTCAAGTTTATATTGGCTTATTCCTAGGTTTTTCTTCTCAAAGTCATTACTTACTTACTAACTTACTTACTTACGCCTGTTACCCACAATCGAGCATAGGCCGCCCACCAGCAGCATTCTCCAACCAACTCTGTCTGTCCTGGGCTACCCTCTCCAGTTCTGTCCAATGTTTGTTCATTTCTCTCATATCTTTCTCGATTTCTCGGCGTAATGTGTTCCTTGGCCTTCCTCTTTTCCTTTTCCCTCACTTGAGGGTTCCATGTGAGGGCTTGTCTCGTGACGCGCAGTTAGGTGCTTTTCGTAGTGTGTGGCGTATCCACTTCCACCGCTTCTTCCTCATTTCCTCCTCCATTAGAATCTGGTTTGTTCTATCCCACAGTAGTACGTTGTTGCTGATGGTGTCTGGCCAACGAATCCGAAGTATTTTGCGTAGACAACTGTTAATAAACACTTGTATCTTCTGGATGATGCGGCTTTGGTAGCTCTCCAGGTTTCCGCTCCATACAGTAGAATAACTGTCTTGACATTTGTATTGAAAATCCTGTAGTTTGATACTGTTAGTTGTTGACCTTGACAATAATGTTGGATGTTCTTTTTTGTTGTTGAGTATGTGCATAGTTCGTAGTTCACTTCATTTATCACATATCTAGCTAAATTTTATCACTATCTATAAATAGTTAGTTAGTCATGTCATAGTCATATGGAGTTAGTCCGTTTTTCCTTGTACGCTTTGGCTTTGACGCTTCACATTCTCTATAATGTCTGCCTGCATACGTGAGTGTATTATGAACAAAAAAATTCATTCAGCAGATTCTTATTACCGCCCTCGTACAATCGTTAGCATAATTAAAATTGTTCAATACACATTGGAGTTAGTAGATCTTAGGTCATGAAAAAAAAAAGCTTTACTCGGAAGTTGTAACATGGTTGCTCGCATGCTTGTTATCATTGCGTGATTCTATGGGCTTACTGCTGTATTATTTCCACCATACAAATTCAAGAATTTCATCATAATTTATTCTTGATTATTAACTTACATTGGAGCTTTTCTAGGGTTACTACCTGTCCTAAGCCACGATAAAGCTGGAAGGCTGGGCATGGTGCTAACAATCCTATACTGTACAAAACTAACTTTCTAAAAACATAACGCTAACTAGTTCTTAATTTTTGAAACAGCCGATCATCTCATCTCTTAGTGATTGTCTTTGAAACGTTACTCCTCAGTTTAGGTTACTTGAAAATGACAATACATACATACCCTGGATATCTAAGTCAATGAAAGTTTATAACCCCATTGATTAACTATTCCTTCCAGCCTAAAGTTGTATTTCTATTGTTGTTTTTACTCAGTTATTGATTCCACGGTACGTGAACATTGAAACAAAATGAACTGATAAGTTTGTGGTGCGAGCTGGTACGCCTGCATCATTTCCGGCTGCTGCTCAAGTAATAATTCAAGTTTGGAAGGATTCATGTTTCCAAAAATACCGTCGCCAAATGTTAAGTTCGTCACTAGGTACACGCTTGAAGCTATTTTACGAGTTCAGCTTAGTCGATAAACGCGAACGAGACAATGAACCAGCGTCCAGAAAATAGCACACTAAAATACACAGCCATGGATTTTCCTGGTGGGAAATGAAATCTCAAAGTCAACACTGATCAGCCCATGCTCGCGCAAACGTGAAATCCAAAATTAAGGCATTTTTGTCAAGCGAGGTTTGGGGATCTAACAACATCCCCAACACAGTCTGATTGATAATACTGTACTTTTGTGGTGTGAGCTACTTATAAGTAGTAGATGACGTGAGTGTAAATGTAATGTCTGGCAGCAGAAGATGGGGGAAGGTCAATAAAGGAAGAGTGGGAACAAAATGGAATTTGTATGAAACGCATGAATAGTGAAATGTCAGACAATGGATTGATGATGGATTGAAGATTTGCAAATAAACCGTTTACGATATGGTTTTGCTATTTTACTGAGTAACTGTGTAATTTTCGTTAAATACAATTTGGTTGCCCACCTGTGTTCTCGTTCACTGTCGCTGCCTGCACGAAGGAAGGAGCTCCCGTGGCCGAAGGAGTTTGAGGACGGAGATTTGCGGAGCTTCCTGGAGGAGTTTGAGGCCGTGTCGGGGCTGTTGGGTGTGAAGGGGCCCGGGGCGGAGTTGTCGGTGCTGGGGACGCAGCGGGGAGGTGAGGCGAAGGCGGTATACGACAACCTGGACGGTGCCGCCGAGAAGACGGCGTGGGAGACGGTCACCGGGCAGCTGATGACGGAGTTTGACAGCCCGGTGGACAGGGAGGAGTCGCCGCAGGAGTTCCGGTTGGCGAGGCTGTCGGCTGAAGGTGACCCGCTGGTGCTCGCTGTGGAGCTCACGATGTTGCTGCGCCGTACGTAGCCGAGTATGGATGGGGAGTCGGGGGCACAGTTTTCGGCGTCGCAATTTATCGAGAGTGTGCCTGCCGCCGTGTCCTAGCAGCGGGAACTAGTAAACGCTACACGTTGGATAGATGCCGTATCCATTCCAGACCAGCGGGCAAGAACAATGACCGAAGTGGTAATCCGGCATATTGTAGCGTGTCACGGAATACGGAAGGTGATATTAACTGACCAGGGTCCCTGTTTTGAAAGACTACGACGACAGCTTATTAAAAGGGGGGACGAGTGTGGTGTGAGCTACCTATAAGTAGCTCACACCTTACTATCATCTTTAAAGATTTCTGAAATCGAATATATAATTCTCATTTAAACATGAGATGAAGAAATCTCATTGAAGTAATCTTCCTTTTTTTAATTCATGTTATGTTTAAATCGTTGTATTGACTATTCTACAAGATGTTTAACAGTATAAATAGACAATTTACTTTTACTAAGTAGACAATTAATAGTTTTTATTAAGTTATATTTCGCTTTACTTACGCCTGTTCCCCCCAAATGGATCATAGGCCGCCAACCAGCATTACCCACTCTACTCTGTCCGAACGTCATTCATTCCTGCTCATGTCTGTCTCCATTTCTCCGTATATTATGTTCTTTGATCTTCCACGTTTCCTGTACCCTTTGGGATTCCAAGTGAGTGATTGAGTTGTGATGCGATAAGGTGCTTTCCTCAATATGTTTCCTATCCACTTCCTGGTTTCTTCCTCCACTGGAATTTAGCTTGTTCTCTCCCATAGTAGGTTATTACTGAAAGTGTCTATCCAACCGATCCTCACTCAGTACATATACGGCGTAGACAACTGTTGATAATCATTTGCATCTTCTGAATAATGATTTTCGAACTGTATTAACATTTTTATTCAAAAATTCTAACTTTTGATGTTTACTGATAGTTGCTTAGAATTCCAGATGTGTTCTTTAGTTTAGGAAATGATACCTTCCATTCTAATTCTATCATCTGGTCACCATTTCTTAGCGCAAACTGGTTATTTTTTTTGTCTGATCTGTTGTAATTAACAACTAATTCCGGCCGGAGCTTACATAAATCACAATCATGTTTGGCACGATACAGTCAACAAGAACAACTATTATGCCAAACCAAGCATGATTACTATTTTTTTTTCCCAAGTCATAAAATGTCTACAACAACCATTCGAATGGGAAATCAATAAAATAAGTCTCAAATGAAATTTTTCTTTGCTAAAAAAACTATTTTTATGAGATTTGTAGGAGTAAAAACGAACAAAGAAAGCAAGCAAGCAAGCGATGTAAACCTACACACACAGTCAGTCAGTCAGTCAGTTGCAACGTAGAACTTCGTACGTAAGTACATCAGTTCATGTTGCCATACCACATTATTAGCACAGAGATATAATTGTCAATTCAAATCCAATAGTAGAAGAGATAGTAAAGGTATTAGAAGTAATCGGAGAGGTTAGGATTAGAAGATATTATTCACGAAGTATGATTCAACGAGATAAGTTTAGAAAGTAAAAACTAGAGGTGTTGAAGAATCCAGAAGATTAGGATTTGAGAGAACACAAAAAATAAATGCACTGGCGCCATTGTGAACGATTTTGAGTCATGTCATTCAAGGTCTCTAACCATCGATTATTATCATCTCGCGGACCCCAACCAGGTAGTCGATAATTACCGACGTGGCTAAGTCCACTCGTCAATGACTTCATGGATTTCTGCCATGTTTTGGTCTGGCCGCCCCTAACTTTCTTCCAACCTATTCCTACACTACAAAACAAAGCTCGACGAGGCAGTCGGTGGTTAGGCATACGCAACACGTGTCCCAACCACCTCAAGTGATGAAGTTTCAGCACTTCATCTATTGATCTGCCATTCTTACCTTGTACCCGTTTCCTAATAACAGCATTGCTCACTCGGTTGTCCCACGATATACGAGCAATGCTTCGAAGACACCTATGATCGAAAACCAGTAACCTACGAGTATCTTCTACTCTCATTGGCCATGTTTCACAGCCATAAAGTAAGACGGAGCGAACCACTGCGCAGTACACTCGTCCTTTAGTCATCAAATGGATATCTCGCCTACGCCATAAGTGACGCAGGTTGAAAACCTACACACACACACACACACTTGGTGAAACTTACTTTGCTTCCGGATCATATTCTGACCATAAACGTATAAATTCATCTAAATGATGTGGACCTAATATTGACCAATCTCGTGTTAAATAATCAAAATTATCCATAATAACAGCAACAAATAAATTAATAATCTGAAATATATAGAAAATCATAACAAAATTTGAAATGTTATTATTATTACTGAAATAGCGAATCAATAAACATTGTTAGATCACCATAAGAAACCTAGAAACATTGAACTTATGGACATTTTGTCCTAAAATTTATGTCACTCATCAACAATGCGCACCGACGAGTCCTACTACTACTACTCACAGTAATCGAACTCAGAATCTTCGGTCTTGCACTTGAACGCCTAACGCCGGCACCACTGGGCCAACATTCAAAAGTATCAATGACTAATTCTGATCAATCTAAGGATTTTTCGTGGCCTCACCCACTGTTCTCAGTAGTTACCACCTACACCCGACAAACGCGCAAGACAGAAGCTCTTGGATTCGAATCCTGGAAGCAGTAGGATTGATGGGTGTGCACTGCTGATCAGTTCCGTACTATCAAACAAAACGTCTGTCTTTCAGTACCTCAAAGTTTCTAATGCTGTTCTGACAATCGTTCACTCATGATTTCGATATCAAACAACAATCTCCATAATTCTATAATGAGAAATGTTATTAGTATCTAACCTTTCACTAAATTATATCCATAATCTTCCAGTCTAACGAATTAGCATGATTCAATGAAGCTTAAAAGACAAAACGTAGTTTTTTTGTTTGTTCAAGATGTAGTAAATTTCGCATTATTCTATTGTGGTGTATACTATTCGCAACGTAGCATATAGATATGCTCGTCAATTGATGTGCTTGAAACTTTCACAAGTTCACCTTACTCGGTAAACGGAGCGAAAATAAATGAGACAGTGACATGATAGGCTATTCTAATCTGTTTGACCTCGGACCGGTTAACTAAATCAGGAAGTCTTGATAAAGCGTAGAAAGTGTACCCAGAAGTACAAACTCGATAAGCACACAAATCGAGTTTATTTATACATGATAGAAACGTCCTTGGAAGAACTACAAAAATAGCGTACTAAAGCAATCCACACCAACCAATGATGGTAAAGGATTTCAAGGTCACCTAATCAGCCCATGCTCGAAAACACAAAAATTTTCAAAATTAGGCCCTTTTCCAAGTGAGTTCTGGAGATCTAACTTCCACAACACTTATAAGTAGCTTGCAGTGGATTTGTAGATGAGTGTCAATCTGAAGTTACTTCTGTAGAGAATAGTGTCGGATCCGGGTGTATGCCGCGATCGTAGACTACAAGACATATAGGAGAAGACAGTCAATAATCCGCATGTTTCGGCAATGAAAATTTAAAGATATGGTGCACAGATTTCACTAGTAGACTGCGTTTTCTTCCACTAAATCGCTTATTTCATTCGGCCTTAACGTCTTTGTTCATTACACTATGATATTATTGAATTATGTGAAGAGACAAACAAAGGGACACTGACACATTATGGAAGCTTATTTCGGGAACAATGTTGTGCCCAAGTTAAAGTCTGCTATATGCTTGTATTTGGTTTTGCACTCATCTTATTCTGTAAATTTGAATGTACAATTCACTGCCATGCTTTGTTTTATTTCAAAATTACTATAAAACATAAACGTGACCTCTGTATTTAACTTTTCTACCTTAAATGCCTTACTTACTTACTTACTTACTTACTTACTTATGCACTTACTTACTTATGCACTTACTTACTTATGCACTTACTTACTTATGCACTTACTTACTTATGCACTTACTTACTTACTTACGCCTGTTACCACCAATGGATCATAGGTCAGTGAGCAGTGGTCTCCAACCTACTTTGTCTTGGGCTTCCCTTTCCAGTTTCGTCTAAGTTTAGTTCATTCTCCTCATGTATTTCTCTATTTCTAGACGTAATGTGTTTCTTGGCCTTCTTCTTTTCCTTTTTTTTACCTTAAGCGTTCAACGCCAGGGCTTGTCCTGTGACACGGATGCCTAAATGCCTAGTTCGTTGATAATTCAACTGAGATTTAATAAGTCTTGGCTGGTATACACAGTACTCTTATGCGGATTTAATTTGATAAAGAGCCATTATGTTACATATGAGAATTAAATCTCATACGCATAGCATTCATTAGTGAGTGACTATCTGAACTTCGCGGTTACATGGATAACATGATGGATGGCATTTGAAGTAAGTAGTACTAGTGTGGTGCGAGCTACTTGTAAGTAGTATATGACGTGAGTGTCAACGTAATGTCTGGCAGCAGAATATGGGGGAACATCAAGAAAGGAAGAGTTAGAAGAACACAATGGAATTTGTATGAAACGCATGAATAGTGAGTGATAATGGATTGATGTTGCTTGCAACAGGAACAGTCCAGTTCGTGATGATGATGAACTGATATTTTGCAAATTAACTAACGATTTACTAAGATATGGTTTTTCCGATTTTACTGAGTAACTCTGTTGTAATTTTCGTTAAATATACAATTCGGTTGCCCTCACACCTGTGTTCTCGTTCACTAGTACACTAGGTTCGAGTCACATAGCCGTAAACATTTTAGCCTAAAAGACATCGTTCTAAACAGGATGAAAAAATACACTTATTGACTTCTACTGTAGTGAATGAGAACACAGGTGGGGCAACCGAATTGTATTTAACGAAAATTACAGAGTTACTCAGTAAAATTGGAAAACCATATCGTAAATCGTTTATTTGCAAAAGATCAGTTCATCATCATATCGAACTGGACTGTTCCTGTTGTAAACAACATCAATCCATTGTCACTCACTATTCATGCGTTTCATACAAATTCCATTGTGTTCTTCTAACTCTTCCTTTCTTGATCTTCCCCCCGTATTATGCTACCAGACTTTACGTTGACACTCATGTGATATACTACTTATAAGTAGTTCGCACCACAGCACCACACTACTACAAGCTACTTTCTCCTATACATAAACCATTTCAACTTTCAAAAAAAATAGAAAGAACCATAAAGAAAGGTAGCTGACTAACTAACTAACTTACCAAAAATGAACAAACCATATAGAAAGATATAAAATATGGATAAGCAAAATTTGAACCACATGTTGCACGTGGTCCATTATAACCTAATTCTTCTAATTTTTTCATACTAATTGTTCTTTCATCCAATAATTCAATAGGTGGTGCATTGTTTGATTTTAACACCGATGATGATGAGGAGGATGCTGCTGACAGTTGTGACGATGAACTGATCGCGATGCTAACATTCTCTTCATTCATTTCATTTAAATGTCTATAATATCGATGAATAAAATCCGGTGGATAAATCCCATTGTCTAATGGATGTTTATAATCAGCTGATGCTGATGACGACGAGGCTGATGAGGTGAAGGAATTCGACCAATCGGTAGGATGTTCCAATGGGAATAATAATGCCGAAGGATGTGAATAAATCGATAATGAGTTCGGATCAATTAATTCATTGTTGAATGTATCCCATAAAGAATGATTATTATTATTATTATGATTATTATTATGATTGTTAATCTTAATATCTTGTTCATGATTGTACAATGATTTGATTGGTGGTGGTCTGTGATTATTATTATTATTATTATTATTATTACTATTATCTATGTGGTATTGATTGATCGGTGTAATGATAGGTGTAACATTTGCGGTGGAATTATTATCATCAATACTTTGATTTTTTTGTAAAAAATTATATTCTGTTAGCAAAGTAGTATTGATTGTATCAGAAGGAAATTTTTCATCTAGAAAACTACGTATTGCTTTCATTTCAGTATCCGAGTAACGATCACATTTAACTGTATGATCTAGGAGAAAAAATGAGAGGGAATTTTGAAAAAAAGGAAGATATCAGTTGGTATATAAATATGTAGTATATATGGACAAATATATATATATTTTGATAGAAGTAAAAAGAGTAAAAGAGTTTTTACCAGCTTAACGATTTGGACTATCCTAAATGATCTGGTTCTTCTATCTAAAAAGTAATAACGAATGCAAGAGAAGACGACCAATGTTTAGCAGCAGCAGTAGGTTTCAACATACACAAAAGGGAAACACAAGATCTTCCGATACAACACAACATACACTAAGCAAATAACTCTTGATAGAGATGTCTTGGAGGATGTAAACACGTTTACATATCTGAGCAACATCATTGACAAGCAAGGTGGGTCTGGTGTAAATGTGAAGGCGCGAATCACAAAAGCAAGCGATGTATTTATACAATTGAAATAATATCTGGAACGCAAAACAACTATCAATAAACATCAAATTTTAGAATTCCCAGTACAAATGTCAAGACGGTTATTCTACTGTATGGAGCGGCAACTTGGAGAAGTACCAAAGCCATCATCATCCAGAAGATACAAGTGTTTAATTAACAGTTGTCTACGCAAAACACTTCGGATTCGTTAGCCAGACACCATTATCAACAACCGATTGTCAGTCAGTCAGATGCAATGTAGAACTTTGTACATAAGTACATCAGTTCATGTTGCCATACCACATCAGCTAAGAGAAGTAATCGTCAATTCAAATCCAATAGTAGAAAAGGGAATTAGAAGTAATCGGAGAGGTTAGGATTAGAAGATACTATTCAAGAAGTATGATTCAGTGAGAAAAGTTTAGAGAGTCTAAACAACAGGTGTTGAAGAATCCAGAAGATTAGGATTTGAGAGAACACAAAGAATAAATGCACCTGCGCCATTGCGGACGATTTCGAGCCATGACATTCAAGGTCTCTAGTCATCGATTATTATCATCTCGTGGACCCCAACCAGGTAGTCGACAATTACCGACATGGTTAAGTCCACTCGTCAATGACTTCATGGATTTCTGCCATGTTTTAAATTGGCCGTCCCTAACTTTCTTCCAACCTATTCCTACACTACAAAACAAAGTTCGTCGAGGCAGTCGGTGGTTTGGCCGAGGCTGCTACCTTGACGTGGTGGTCGGGCTTGCCTATCGTGATGACCCAACCGAGATATACTGGCTGTAACATATGTTCATGCAGGTCCTACCATGCCAGGCAGGTCGATTGGAGAACGATCAGACTAAAAGCAGCTACTCAAGGTCTGAGGGCGAAGTCGTACTGCTGACTGCAGAGGGGTGTGACAGCAGTAAGATGTTTCCCTCGGACAACCAGCATCTGCAGCGATGCTGCCTTCTCACAAGGAAAGAAGGAAGGGTTAGAAAAGGTCGACCCTAAAAATGTCACACCTCCCCTAACTCACGGATTTCCGTCTCCTTGGGTAAGGGTGCCCACTAAGGGCCTTTAAGAACGGAGCTAATCCTCAAAAAACATTTCATAAAAAGGCCGTGCGTGACCGGCCTCAAGCAGTTGTCCCTTGGACTCTGCGGTCACGCACCAACACTAATCCATCTTCCTTTTCAGGTCCCTCAAGAAACAACCTTCCACGGTGTGGGCAGCCGGGAAGTGACAACCGCCCTCATACCCGTAACAGTACGCGAGACCAAATTGGTCAAAATCAACAACCGATTGTAGGATAGAACAAAACAGATTGTAGTGGAGGAAGAAATCGGAAAGAAACTTTGGAAGTGGATAGGACATATACTGCGAAAAGCACCCAAAGGCGTCACAAGACAAGCCTACCTGAAAGGAATCATTAATTAACGTCAAAGGAAAAGAGGAAGACCGTAGAACACATTAAAGCAAGAAATGGAGATAGACATAAGAAGAAGAATGACCAAAAATTGGACAGACCCGCGAAGGAAACCTCAGGACCGAGTAGATTGGGGAATACAGATCGGCGGGCTTTGCTGCTTCGAGTGTAACAGGCGTAAGTAAGTAAGTAAGTAGTGTAATGATCTGTTACATTTGAAGATAGATCACATTATCAACGAAAGTAAACGGGGCAATAAGATATATAAGTGAACATATGTTTAATTCCAGTTTGATATCTATCGAAAGCTATTTTACTAACTACAATATACAAGAAGTTCTAGTGAATCACCACTAAGTAGTAGTGTAGTGAAGGAGAACACAGGTGGGGCAACCGAATTGTATTTAACGAAAATTACACAGTTACTCAGTAAAATCGGAAAAACCATATCGTAAATCGTTCATTTGCAAAATATCAGTTCATCATATCGAACTGGACTGTCTGTTCCTGTTGCAAAACATCAATCCATTGTCACTCACTATTCATGCGTTTCATACAAATTCCATTGTGTTCTAACTCTTCCTTTCTTGATCTTCTCCCCATCTTCTGCTGCCAGACATTACGTTGACACTCACGTCATATACTACTTATAAGTAGCGCGCACCACAGTAGGATGTAGTAATTTCACGTTTGGAACTTATTAACATGTGACGTGATAAGTGGCGTTTATTTATGTAATAGTAATAGTAAGTAGATCTACATTGAAAAATATTACATACTGGATGGAGAAAATTGTAGTCCATCTTTAAATATGACTTCTCAAGTGATGTTACTACTTAGTAATAAAGTTCAGTTCACTTTCCATATTTCATATCTTAATATTATTCAATCATATCACATTGCGTGTTATCATTATGCTGATTGTTACACTTTTAAAACAATTAGTCCCTTTTATAAATTTTGATAGAACAGTGAGAAGACGTAATTGATCGGAAAATTATTGTGATGTATTTGCGCTAGACATTTCGAACAATCTGGTCACAGATATTTACTTGTCAAGGCATTTTAAGTGTGAAGATGAATAAAAGGTCAATTAAATAAAAGTTCAAATAGACATAAGGTGATAATTGTAAATAAAGGAGAGAGAAAATTAACGTAATGTGAAAAGAATAAGAAGGGGTAGGAAAATTGTCACATCAGCCTAGGCTTAAAGATTACCAGGGTAAATTCAAGGTTATGACAAATTGTTTCTGCACACATCAGGGGGGGGTTTAATTTTCTAATAGCCAAGGCTGTCTTGATGTCGTCAATCTTATGCCCTGTCTCAATTATGTGTTTGGCGATCGATGAACATGGTTTTCTATTTCCAACGTTAATCGGATCATCTGACGTTAACTGATTTTGAAGCCACTGAGGTACATGTTCCACAACCCTTGATTGCAAAGTCCGATTACTCCTCCCCATGTATATATGTCCACACAAACATGTAAATTGATAAATACAATGGGATGTGATGTAATCATTAGAGCAACGTTTAGGTATATGCGAAATCATGGACTTGGTCTTTTCAATGAATAATCAGTTTAGCAGCGTTGTATGTTTTCTCTATGGCTGCTTTTAGTCACTGTCTTATTATTAGACCATTTGCTTCACCTCTAAATGGTAAAGTGATATAAACCTTTTTCTTTTCAGCAGAATCAATCAGTTGCTTTTGTCTTAACTGATCTCTACACCTATTGATAAACTTTAGCGGATAGCCATTTGAAGTCAATGCTTCAGTTACACTTTTCTCATGAATAAAAAATGATCATGTTTTAGATTAGAATCACTTGAAATTATCTTTTTGAAAATATACAATAAAAAAATGTTTCAAAGTAATAGAACAATTGTAAAATGTTGTATATTTCATTCAAATAATGAATCGATCACTGTTAGACTACCATTAGAAATTCGAAAGCATTCATTGGACGGCCGTCAAGTCCTGGGTATGGGACTCTTTAACAGTGCCTATCCACGACACTCAGTCACTGGAATCGAACCCAGGAAGTTCGGTCTCACATGCGACCACTGAGTCGGAATCCAACAGTGTTAATGTCTAATTTTCACACATCCATATTGGGTTCGTCATTAAGTACACTTGAGGCGAGTTTACCTTAGTCGATAAACGCGGACGAGACAATGAACCAGCGTCCAGGTAGGCTACCTTGAATTCAAAGCTGAAGACAGAAGGCTTTGTAAGCGTAGAAAGTATATTCTACAAACACTCAGCAATCACAAATACAATCGAGAACACAATTCTCGTTTATTTATACAGCACAGAAACGTTTTTGAGACAGTTAAGAAAATAGCACACTAAAACACACAGCAGTCAATCACAGTCATGGATTTTCCTGGGGTGGGAATTGAAATCTCATAGTCAACTGATCAGCCAATGCTCGCGCAAACGTGAAATCCAAAATTAAGGCATTTTTATCAAGCGACTTTTGGGGATCTAACATCCCCAAGAATTCACTTTTACAAACTATTCTCGATTGGTTGAATTTAGATAATAAGGACCATTGGATTCGAACACAGTGCTCTACAAGTAAGGCATTTGTGTGTGAAACCAAATGCCTTGAATTTGATTCCTACCCGCAAGACTGTGGATTTGCACTGCTGACGACTACCATACTAGAAGTTGAAATATAGCTGTCTAATAATGATCGAATCGACGAGCCTTGTTTTGTAGTGTAGGAGTAGGTTGGAAGAAAGTTAGGGGCGGCCAAACCAAGAAATGGCAGAAATCCATGAAGTCATTGACGAGTGGACTTAGCCATGTCGGTAATTGTCGACTATCTGGTTGGGGTCCGCGAGATGATAATAATCGATGGTTAGAGACCTTGAATGACATGGCTCAAAATCGTTCGCAATGGCGCCAGTGCATTTACTCTTTGTGTTCTCTCAAATCTTAATCTTCTGGATTCTTCAACACCTCTAGTTTTGACTTTCTAAACTTTTCTCATTGAATCATACTTCATGAATAATATCTTCTCATCCTAACCTCTTCGATTACTTCTAATACCTTTACTACCTCTTCTACTAATATTGGATTTGAATTGACAATTACATTTCTCGGTGCTGATGTGGTATGGCGACATGAACTGATGTACTTATGTACAAAGTTCTACGTTGCATCTGACTGACATGGTTTCAATGTGAAAATAACAATCTCTAGGAACTTACCATTTACACAACTTAACATAATCTCTTGCCATGCTTCACCAGTTGCTGAACGAAATAACACTAATAACGATTGGGGGAATGTTTGAAAATTATTATTATGATTAATTGAACTATCTGAATTGATTAAAGCAATTTTCCCGAACATTTGCATACCAATAACAGCATAGATAAAAAATAACATAATAATCAATAGGGCAACATATGGTAGAGCCTGTAACAGAAGAAAAAAATAAATTCAAATATTATTAAACAATATGTCTAGAAAAATAATCACTGAATACTACTGCTATACAAGGGGGAAAGGTAAGTTTGAGTAAAGCGCGTTTTCTTCCATCTTGATGAGTTAGATATTAACACCATTGGATGCTTGCCGGTTCAGTGGTCCGGTTCGTGCGTAAGACCGAAGACAGACAGACAGATAGATACAACGCAGAACTTCGTACGTAAGTATATCAGTTCAGGTTACCATACCACATAAGCACAGAGATGCAACTGTCAGTTCAAATCTCATAGTGGTAGAGATAGTAGAAGTATTAGCAGCAATGGAGAAGATTAGGGAGCGAAGATATGATATGAGTCGAGAAGTATCATTCAGTAAGATAAATTTAGAAGGAGAAAGATAGAGATTACGAGGGAGGCAGAAGCTTAGAGTTTCATAGAACACAAAGATTGGATGCACCTGCGCCATTGCAAACGATTCTGAGACATGTCATTCAAGGTCTCTAACCATTGGTGACTATCGTCTCACGGACCCCAACCAGGTAGCCTACATCACTGAAACCCATGCAAGGGGGAAAGGTAAGTTTGAGTAAAGCGTTTTTTTTCCATCTTGATGAGTTAGACATTAACACCGTTGAATGCTGGCCGGTTCAGTGGTCCAGAAGTTAAGCGTTCGTGCGCAAGACTGATAGTCCTCGGCTGGAATCCTGCAAGTATCAGACGTCGTAGGTGGTGAAGATCCCCATAACCAGGACTTGACGACCGTGTTTCAAGGCTTACAGGTTTCTAATGGTGATTTAATAATGATTCATTCATGATTTCAACACGAAAATAAGAATGATTTGTAGAGAATAATATGAATTTATTCAGAATTTGTTTGAATCTTCTGATCAGCTGATTACAATCTTTAGTCCTTTCAAAATCATAATTACAAATTGAAGTTTTAAATTACTTACATGAAACAGTTTAGTCGGAAGTTGCTATTGATCAGACGTTAGTTTACCATAGCAAAAGTGTCAATGATTTTAACAGACGAAATAACGAATTTTAAATATATAACTTATACAGAAGAATATTCTACAGCACTAAAAACTGAAGGGCTAGAAACAATTGGTGGTTACGTAACAAATAAACTCCAGTAATCCATAAGAATAATTAGACAAGAAAAGCTTAATTAGTTAAAATAAGTTTACTAATTCACAAGTTATTCGGTACAAAAAGTTATGATCTTCTTCTGATTGGTGAAAAGAAAGAGTTGAACAAAATCTGATTACCAAAGTAAATAAAGATTCACAACCATGTGTTTTTGGACAACATATCAATTATGTTTCAAGCGCGCCTCAGAGTAATAAAAATGGGCTTTAGCGAACTTCGAAAGACTGGAGTTTAGTTGTTGATAATAATCCCTTTGAAAGGCTAAGTGATATCAACTTGATGTCCAAAAGATGTTTAGTGATTACGTTTTAATTTAAAGTGGATATTTCTTCTGCTTGAAGGCTTTTAGGAATATGTTCAATGAGAATCCAAAGTATGTTGTTCTCCGTTTCTCTTTGAACCATGTAGCTACACTGGCAAGTATACGTAAACTTATAAAAACCAATGACGGTACTAAGGATGAGTTGCTTGCGGAATTTTCATTGGGCTATCAAATACATTTTGTTTTTACATACAGTGAGCAGCTGATGAGAACTATACGAAATAAGAATGAATTCACTAGTATTCTGTTCAAATCATTTTTCTTACTGTCTTACATCAGTCAGTCAATCAGTCCAGTAACAACGTAGAACTTTGTACGTACGTACATCAATTCAAGTTGCCATACCACGTTATCACAGAGCCGCAACTGTCAGTTTAAATCCAATAGTAGTAGCGATCGTAGAAGTATTGACAATTACGGATAAGATTAGGGTCCGAATATATGATTCGAGAAGTATAATTCAGTGAGATAAATTTAGAAAGCGAATTATAGAGATTATGAGGAATTCATAAGGTTAGAATTTGAGAGAACGTATACGGCAACCCTATAAAATTGATTATGAGTTTAATATTAGAACAAGATAGAATGTACTTAACAGTGGAATTCTATGAAGGGCGTTTAATTCTGTTTGGGATTCGGTAACTAGATTTATGTACATACCAGAGTTCAAGTTCACTCTGGGACTCAGGTACACACTACCTTTTGACTTAAATGCAATCACTTTATTCACTTAGTTAATCGAGTTCAGAAATCGACTCAGTTGTGTGTTACAGGTATACAAATATCATTTTGCAAACTATTTCATCCAATACACAGTTTGACCACCACTAAAAATCTGAAGGCACTAAACGAACGACTGATTCTTTCTGATGTGGCCACCATTCACGACTTCGCAAGTAGAAAATCGAACAAAAAAGACCTACGGTCTCACGTGGGGAAACTAAACCTCTACACCATTGAGCCAGCATCCAATAATGTTAATTGTTTAACTTCAATCAACTTAACAATGATCCGTTCATAGTTTTGATGAAACTCAACAGTTTCTATAACCCCATATATTGACAGAGTAATGGAGAGTAGAAAATCAAAGAATGTATAAACATTGAAACCCTCAGTCGATCATTGTTAGACCACCCCTCACCATTAGAAACCTGGAAGCATTGAAAGAGAACCATTTCGTCCTGGTATGGCACTCATTAGCAGTGTGCATCCACAACTCATTTTTGCTCACAGGATTCAAACCCAAGACCTTCGTTCGGTCTTTCGTGTGAGCGCTTAACCTTTGGACCACTGGAAAATATAATGAATATATCATCAGATAGATATCTGATTGATATACCTTTAGTTAATTACTTAAAAATGTTTTTTTTAATCGTATAAATGAACCTAAAGTGGAAAAGTTCATGTAAGTAATTAATTCAAACATTAAAATGTAATCGTAATGATAAAAATGAACAGTATAAGAAATACTGAGTGGAAATTTACATACTTCTGTGTCAATCACAACATCAAAGAGCAAAAAACCAACATAAATTAAGGAAATAAGATTTTTTTATGAAGGAGCAATAACAATGCTTCCCAATTTAGAAGATGGTGAGTATATGAAAGTCTCTGTGTGAAACGAATCTATATCTATCTATCTAGTAGCCCAAAAAGGATGAAATGAATAGAATAAACAGCAACTTTACCTTGATATCATGAATGAATCATTGTTAGACCATCATTAGAAAGCTGGAAGCAATGGACGGCAGTTCCATACCGTTATGGGACTCCTAAGGAGTGAACATCCACAATTCCTGCAACTCTCAGGATTCAAACATAGGACCTTCGGTTTCGCGCACGAACGCCTAACATCTGAACCGCTAGACTGGGGTCTAACAGTGTTAGTGTTTAACTCTGATCATTCTACGGATTTTGCGCGATCTCACACATTTATCTTCGGTAGTTACTGCCTACATTCGACAGGGTTGAATTCCACTGGTTAGCGTTTTTTTAAGCGAGTTAGTTTTCTCCTGGTAGGGTCACTAACCCCATGCCCAACCATCCTGCTTTATTCAGACTTGGAATTGATAGTAGCTGCAGAGATGCTCCAAGCGGAGTTTCAGTATATGGTTTCAGATTAAAAAGCCAGTCTGAACACTGGTTCTTATCATCATCTGATTTAAACTATCTAAGCTTCAGTATATACACACCATTAGAAATATGTAAGCAGTGGACGGCCGTTTCTTCTTAGTATACAACTCATCGGCGGTGCGCATCGATGACCCTCGTTTGCGTTAATCAAACCAAATATGTTTGGTCTCTCGTAAGAATGCCTAAAATCTAAACCACTGATCCGGCATTTGACAAAGTTAATGTTTAACTTCAATCAATCCAATGTATTTCGCACCCTCACTCATTGTCTTCAATGGGTAACCGACTCACATCCGACAAGGATAAACTCCAATAATCAAGGCTTTTCACTAGAACTCCAAAACTTTTCACACGAAGCTACTCATCAGTGATCAGATTTTTATGCTTTTCAATATAGATTTTTAAGAATTGTTGGATTTCATTGAAATTAGGAATTTTCAAAATATATATATACATACATATATTTATACAGAACTTCAAAATATCTACCTGAAATGATTTAACAAATGTCCATAAAAGTGTTCTGATACCTTCACCACGATTCAATAATTTCACTAGCCTCATTACACGAAATAAACGAAAAAAATTGATACTAATAAATTTTGAATTTGCCTGTAAAAAAAAAATTAAAATAAATAATGAAAATAAAAAAACAAGAAGCACAGTAAAAACGAGTAAAGTTAAACAAAGTGTACAATGTTTCAAACGTACATAGCCAGTATATCATTGATTGAAGGCTAAATTATAATTTCCATGCAGCAGTAGGTCTCAACATGCATAAAGGAAAAAGTGAAATTCTCCGATGCAACACAATATGCACCAACCAAACCACTCTTGATGGAGATGCCTTGGAGGACGTTAACACTTTTACATATCTGGGCAGCATCATCGACGAGAAAGGTGGATCCCATGAAGATGTGAGGGTGCGGATTGGCGAAGCACAAAGGCTGCATTACTACAGTTGAAAAATATCTGGAACTCCAAACAACTGTTAACCAAAATCAAAATCAGGATTTTCAATACAAATGTGAAGACAGTTCTACTGTATGGAGCGGAAACTTGGAGAACTACAAAAAAGACATCATCTAGAAGACACAAGTGTTTATTAACAGTTGTCTACGCAAAATACTTCGTATTCGTTGGCCAGACACCATGAGCACCAACGTACTGTGGGAGAGAACAAACCAGATATTAGTGGATGAGGAAATGAGGAAGAAGTGGTGGAAGTGGATAGAACACACATTGAGGAAAGCACCTAACTGCGTCACGAGACAAGCCCTCACATGGAACCCTCAAGTGAGGGAAAAGGAAAAGAGGAAGGCCAAGGAACACACTACGCCGAGAAATAGAGAAAGATATGAGAGGAATGAACAAACATTGGACAGAACTGGAGAGGGAAGCCGAGGACAGACAGAGTTGGTTGGAGAAAACTGGTTGGGGCGGCCTATGTTCCATTTGGGGGTAACAGGCGTAAGTAAGTAAGTAGGTAAGTAAGTATAATTTCCATGAATTAAGTTTAATTTTTAAAAAAAACTTTATCGTTTAGTCTAAATTTGAAAATCAAACATTTGATCAAACAGAAAATCGATCATTCTTCTACTTCTTTTGAAATTGATCAGTTCATTTGAAATGTTCCCCCCCCCTTCAACTTTGACCTAACTCATTTCCTTTGTATCTTTGAAATAAAATGAAACATTTTTAAGGACTTGTCCTATTTAAAAAATAAAAGATAAATTTAATCAAAGATGAAATAACTAACTGATAACATCATCAATCTATGCAGTGAGTTATTTAAGACTAGATAAGATTAAGATAGCATTACAACTAGGGCAGCATTTCTACGTTTGAAAAGCATTTCGAACTTTAAACAACTATCAATCAACATCAAAGTCACAATTTTCAATCTATAAAGGTTATGACAGTTTTGTTGTATGGAGCAGAAACTTTAAACGCTACAAAAGCCAGCATTCTACACATAATATAGGTGTTTATTAGGCGTTGATTAAGCAAGACACTTCGAGTCCATAGGCTAGATTCCATCAGTGACAACCTACTGTGGGAGAGAACACAACAGATTCCAGGAGAGGAAGAAATTAGGGAAAAATTGATGGAAGTGGAAAGCATTTAACTTCATCCATCAGATAAGATAAGCGCCCTTAACTTGGAAAACTCAAGACTAAAAAAAGAAAAGAGAGAAAGACCAATGAACACACATCAAGACAGGGAATGTAAACGGACATGAAAAGACTGAACAACAACACTTGGATAGAACTGGAATTGAAGGCTGACGACAGAGTAAGTAGGTTACAGAATGCTTGTCGGCAACCTATGCTCCGTTAGGGGGAAACAGGCGTAAGTAAGTAAGCATATAAAGTAAGATTAAGTCATGAGTGATTGTTGAGTAAGTATCAAGTACATTTTTCATATTTATGCAGTCGTTTAGTGTTGCTGGTCAAATTCAATTGAGCAAATTGTAATGTTTTCAATAATCTATTTTGAATTCAAGTTTGAAGAACTGTGTTATATAGTGTTAAGAAGCTCTGTTGTACTTAGGTTTCATGCCGGTTAGAAGTTTTCAGCCAGCCCTTACTTATCATACTGACGATGACTGATGTTGCTCATGAGACAATGATTCCAATCTCAAAATCTGAGATGCCACCTGGGGCTTTTAATTGAGCCATATTAGTACTGACTATAGGATTGATTAGCTCTCTCTCTCACTCTCTCTTTAATCATCCAGTGATATAATCGATCATTTCTCATTCAGCATAATCATTATGAGATTTCAGGTTAATTCAGGGTCAGAGCAATCAGTAGTAACTCATCATACTCTATTAACAGTAGAGATTTTTTTGATGAAACATGGCAATTCGATATATAATAATGTACACTATAGAGTTTGCGTGTCAATTACAGCTGTTATCACTCAAAATACAAATAACACCTATCAGATGACGATTCAGTAAAGATCATAGTCAATAAACTTTATTAAAATCATGTTAGATTTTACTGGTTAGCATAAATTAAAATGAGTTGTGATATATGTGGTGTCCCAAATCTGAACGCTCTATGTGCGAACCCATCAAACTGATATGTTTGTAGCAGAGGGAATCTATTCGACTATCGATTACTACTATTCATGAATACTCATTTATATTCCTTTCCCTTTAAAAAAAAACATGAATTGATATTTCTTAACCAATGATATGCATTCGTCCTTCAAAACAGAACTGATTGTCCTAACATGACCTTCGCATTTGATCATTTCTGATTCGCCATCATTATTAACATGTTTTAATTTAATTCATTTGTTGTCACTGGATTAGAATTTTTTTTGCTACAAAAAAATGATTTGATTAGATGAAATAAAAAAACTGTTTGTTTTTACTTTTCGAATCTAACTAACTAAAAAATCGAAAAATTGATAATTGAACATTGAACAATTGAACAAACAAACAAACAAAAACAAACTTACAGCAAGATGTGACATATTAATATCGACGAAACTACCGACAACAATAATGAAATCGAATACATTCCATGGATCACTAAAATAATTCTACATATGGAGAGAGAAGAAGTAAAATACCAGAAAAAAAAACAAAAAAACAGAAAATTGTTTGATCAACATGAAACAGAAAAATGACAACAATTTCTAAGTGATTATTAATAACAGCTCATTCTCAGCATGTTAATCCATGTGAATATTTTTCATATGGTAGAAAATTTATATTCATGTTGAGAGGAAACATGTCAATTAATTGATATGTTAGTAGTACCTCATTTAAATTTATTCATTGTACTAAGTTGAATGATTGATTGGTCGTTCAAATGATTCTGTTACACTCGTCTCTAGGTATGCTTAAACTATTACGAGTTCACTTTAGAACAAAACAATGAACCATCGTCTAGGTAGGCTATTCGGATCGCTTGACCCTAATATACTGGAAAGAAGTATTGATATAGCGTAGAAAGTGTATTCTACAAACACTTAGCCAGCACACAAATCGCCTTTTATTTATACACCATAGAGACCTCCTTGGGAGAGTTACAAAAATAGCACACACTAAAATGACACAGTAGCCAATCACAGTCAAGGATTTTCCTGGTTGGAAATATGGTCTCAAGGTCAATTGATCGGTCCATGAAATAAATCCAAAATAAAAAACATTTATCAAGCGCTAGTTTCGGGGGATCTAACATCCCCAACAGATTCGACCAATTTTTAACACTTGTAATTATTCAATTACTATCAACTATTGTACAGCTGATTGTGTTGTGTGTGGATGCTTACTCACTTATTACATATCTAGCCTATTATTGCCTGATTATAAATGCTGAGTCATGACAGTTGGTTCACTCAAATTCTCCGATTCACTTCGTTTTTTCTTGTACACTTTCCATTCTTCTCATGTGTATCTGCTTTAATGAATGGATGAAATAGATTCATCCACAAAAAACCGTATTTGACTTCTCAGTACCGCCGTCGCACAACGGAAGTTTCCATAAGTATAATATACGGAACTGGAAAGGAAGATTTATTCCATTTCATACGCGATCTCATTCATTCATTCATTTGAAAGTGGAATCAAATCACGTGACCACTAAATCGATGAGCCCTACTTTGAATTTAACACAAACCGCTAAAATATGAGCCAATCAGTTAGTTAGTTAGTTAGTCACTTGCAACCTAGAACTTGGTACTTAAGTACATGAGTTTGAGTTGTTATCATTCTACAGTAACACGGAGAAATGAAGTTGCCACGCCGAATCCCATAACAGTGGTAATGGAAAAGATGACGGACCGAAAATACAGACGGACCAGAAAATACAGACCAGTAGAGCAAAGTTTACAACAGTAAAACAAAACAGGTTATAAGGAATTCTGAAGTTTAGAGTTAGATGAGGAGAAGAATACAAAGAATACATCCACCTGTGACATTGCCATTGATTTTGAGTCATAATTTTTTTTCAAGTCTCTGATACACCACTGGCTACCGATTGATTATCGAGCAGACCTCCAGAAAAAAAACAATATAGCCTGCACCGATTCACATGATTTAGTCCAGTTGACAGTGACTCCATAGGCTGGCTGGTGCTATTGTGGTGTGAGCTACTTATAAGTAGTAGTAAATGACGTGAGCCTCAACGTAATGTCTGGCAGCAGAAGATGGGGAAAGATCAAGAAAGGAGGAAGAGTTATAAGAAGACAATGGAATTTGTGTGAAACGCATGAATAGTGAGTGACAATGGATTGATGTTGCTTGCAACAGGAACAGTCCAGTTAAATATGATGAACTGATATTTTGTAAATGACCGATTTACGATATGGTTTTCCAATTTTACTGAGTAACTCTGTAATTTTCGTTAAATGCAATTCAGTTGCCTCACCTGCGTTCTCCTTCACTACATTTGGTGTCGCTGCCTGCTCGAAGGAAGGAGCTCCCGCGGCCGAAGGGGTTTGAGGACGGAGAAATGTTGGAGCTTCCTGGAGGAGTTTGAGGCCACGGTGAGCCTGGTGGGTGCGAAGAGGCCCAGGGCGGAGTTGGTGGTGCTGGGGACGCTGCGGGGAAGTGAGGCAAAGGCGGTGTACGACAGCCTGGACAGTGCCGCCGGGAAAACGGCGTGGGAGACGGTCACTAGGCGGCTGATGACGGAGCTGGACAGCCCGCTGGACAGGGAGGAGGCGCCGCAGAGGTCCCGGCTGGCGAGGCTGTCGGCTGGCGGTGATCCGTTGGTGCTGGCTGTGGAGTTCCCGATGTTGCTGCGCCGTACGCTGCTGAGTATGGATGGGGATTCGCGGCCACAGTTTTCGGCGTCACAATTTATCGAGAGTGTGCCTGCCGCCGTCCTCCAGCAGCGGGAACTAGTAAACGCTACACGTTGGATAGATGCCGTTTACATTCCAGACCAGCGGGCAAGAACAATGACCAAAGTGGTAATCCGGCATATTGTAGCGCGTCACGGAATACGGAAGGTGATATTAACTGACCAGGGTCCCTGTTCTGAAAGACTACGACGACAGCTTATTAAAAGGGGGAACGAGTGGTGTGTGAGCTAATTATAAGTAGCAATATTTATCTGTAAATTTTAATGAGTATTTTATTTTGTGAGGACATATGAGAACGGTCAGTCAACAACACGATGATGTGTAATAGACATGTTGTTGTTGTCATCATGTTGACTGACGTCCTCACGGAATGTATATACCATAAAAAAAATCATAGATACGTATACGATAGATAGTACAGCTTAACAATCAATTCGTTGGGATAAAAAAAGGTCCATTTCACTGAACTTCATTCAAGTTTTAAACTTCCAACATCCATTCAATCCCAATCATCTATTCAAATTGTTATTGTTTTTACTGGTTAGGTAGAAATTAATTAATTAAAGGTGGTAAAGTTTCACTATGAATTAGTCTGGTATTACCTATTTACTTAAAATGGTTTGAATTATTATTTCTGGTTAGCGTTTTTTTGGCAAGTGAGATTTCGACGGAATGGGGTCGCCAACCCCATGTCCAACCCTCCTCCTTTACCCGGGCGTGGGACCGGCAGTAGCCCCCAAGGTTCTTCTCTTTACATACATAAAGGGAAAAGCGAAATTCTCCGATGCAACACAACATGCACCAACCAAATCACTCTTGATGGAGATGCCTTGGAGGAAGTTAACACCTTTACGTATCTGGGCAGCATCATCGACAATCAAGGTGGATCCGATGCAGATGTGAGGGCGCGGATTGGCAAAGCAATGGCTGCATTTCTACAGTTGAAAAATATCTAAAACTCCAAACAACTTTCAACCAAAACCAAAATCACGATTTTCAATACAAATGTGAAGACAGTTCTACTGTATGGAGCGGAAACTTAGAGAACTACGAAAGGCATCATCCAGAAGATATAAGTGTTTATTAACAGTTGTCTACGCAAAATACTGAGGATTCGTTGGCCAGACACTATCAGCAACAACGTACTTCTGTGGGATAGAACAAACCGGATTGCAGTGGAGGAGGAAATCAGGAAGAAGCGGGGGAAGTGTATAGGACACATAATACAAAAAGCACCTAACTGAGTCACGAGACAAGCTCTCACATAGAACCCTCAAGGTCGAGGGAAAAGAGGAAGGTCAAGGAACACTTTCGCTTTACTGTAGCGTGTCACGGAATACGGAAGGTGATATTAACTGACCAGGGTCCCTGTTTTGAAAGACTACGACGACAGCTTATTAAAAGGGGTGACGTGTGGTGTGAGCTACTTATATGTAGTATATGACGTGAGTGTCAACGTAATGTCTGGCAGCAGAAGATAGGGGGGAAGATCAAGAAAGGAAGAATTAGAAGAACACAATGGAATTTGTATGAAACACATGAATAGTAAGTGACAATGGATTGATGTTTTGCAACAAGAACAGTCCAGTTCGATATGATGATGAACTGATATTTTGCAAATTAACTAACAATTTACGATATGGTTTTCCGATTTTACACTGAGTAACTCTGTAATTTTCGTTAAAAACAATTCGATTGCCCTCACCTGTGTTCTCCTTCACTACACTATCTTTTGATTTAGTCGGCCCGTTAGCTTTCTTTCAGCCTCCTTCCTACCTATACATCACCAATACAACATCTCCTGTCAACATGTAATCACACATTAACTTCTTCCTTTAAAATCGTACCATTAAAGAATTACGTGTTGTTATTTTGTTTTGTTCGTTAGTTAGTTTCAAAACAAGAACTATTGTTCTGTTTTTTTTATTCTGTGATATCGTAAACATAATAATATTTATTAACAATATAAGAACAATAAACAAATGAAATTTTCATTAGTGTTTAGTTAGTTAGTTATTTATAATTCAGAACAGAAACAAAAAAAATCACAAAATGTGTTTTACAAAATATGACACAGAGAAAAACAAGAATTGAAAACAATCGAGAAAGAGAGAGAGACAGAGAGAATTAGTTATCCAACATTTTGTAACATGATAGAATTTAGAAAGTTGATTTAATGAGCACTTGAAATCCAGGGTATTAATAAACACCAGCACAATCATCCACCTAAGCTACAAATTTTCTCCACCATCCAGGTTACTTACTTACTTACTTACTTATGCCTGTTACCCACAATGGAGCATAGGCCGCCCCGACCAGTTTTCTCCAACCAACTCTATCTGTCCTGGGCTTACCTCTCCAGTTCTGTCAAATGTTTGTTCATTCTTCTCATATCTTTCTCTATTTCTTGGCGTAATGTGTTCTTTGGCCTTCCTATTTTCCTTTTGACTTGAGGATTCCATGTGAGGACTTGTCTCGTGATGCAGTTGTAGGTGCTTTTCGTAGTGTGTGTCCTATCCACTTCCACCACTTCTTCCTCATTTCCTCCTCCACTGCAATCCGGTTTGTTCTCTCTCACAGTAGTACGTTGTTGCTGATGGTGTCTGGTCAACGAATCCGAAGTATTTTGCGTAGACAACTGTTAATAAACACTTGTATCTTCTGGATGATGGATTTCGTAGTTCTCTAAGTTTCCGCTCCATACAGTAGAACTGTTTTGACATTTGTATTGAAAATCGTGATTTTGGTTTTGGTTGAAAGTTGTTTGGAGTTGCAGATATTTTTCAACTGTATGAATGCAGTCCTTGCTTTGCCAATCCGCACCTTCACATCTGCATCGGATCCACCTTGATTGTCGATCATCCAGGGTACTAATAGTCAATTTTAATTTTTCATAAGCAATTCGCTTATCTTGTTTTGTTTGATAGAACGAAATTATCATCAGTTAAGATAATAATAGTATACGATAGAATATTAATCAATATGAAACTTAAAAATTAGGCAGTAAAAACATTTGTAATCACTGATATTGAATAGTGTTTTTGATTTTAATTAGACTGTTTATTGTATTGATTCAAATTATGAATCGACCATTGTCGAACGATCATTGGAAGCCTGGAAGCACTGGATGACTGTTTCATCCTAATTTGATATTCATCAAAGGGAATCGAAACCACGACCTTCAGTTTGATATACGAACGCTTAACCTCTAGATCACTGACCCGGCATTCAATGGTATTAATGCCTAACGTCAATCAATTGATGGTATTCTGTGACCTCATCCATTGTCTTTGGGAGAAAATAATTAGCTCATATATTTGACACAGTTGAACTCCACCGCGTCTTATCATACCTACGAGAATTTTCTCACAATGCTATAGAAGACACTATAGTGAGCACATTTTGTATGATTTTCAATCAGACACTTGTGGAGACGATTGATCGCCACTGAAATGTAGAGCTTGAGCGTTCCTCCTACGAGACTGAAGCTACTAGGTTCAATGCCCACGAGAGGCGGGGGGGGGGGCACAAAACAGATGTCCAGTTCTTCCCTAACTCTCCAATCATGTTCTTAAAGGCATAATCAAAATAATAAAACACACACACACACATAAATTTAACTAACCTTAAAACCAAACGCTGTCAATTTCAATACAAATTCCACAGTAAATACACCAGTAAATATCATATTCAAATAATCCAATGCATCAGCATAAGCATTCGGTTGTCCTTCAACCTGTCATTTTAGAAATAAAAAAACAGATAAACACACACACACATTCAATGAAGATAAACAGTTATAGATTACACGTATTGATTAGACAGATCAAAATTTATTCTGTTTTTTTTGTTCTAATGGTATTTGCAAACTACTGGATGACGTAATACGTGTATATCCTAATATCGATTTAACTGCAATATATAAATTAATGAGCGATGAATATATATTTATTGATTTAGACTGCGATGGTTTGTCGTTCTCTGCGTTGGATGTTGTTTTGGTTGTGGAGCTTTGATTGTTCTATGGTGCGAGCTACTTGTAAGTAGTATATGACGTAAGTGTCAACGTAATGTCTGGCAGCAGAAGATGGGGGGAAGATCAAGAAAGGAAGAGGAGCGGGAACACAATGGAATTTGTATGAAACGTATGAATAGTGAGACAATGGATTGATGTTGCTTGCAACAGGAACATTCCAGTTCGATATGATGAACTGATATTTTGCAAATGAACGATTTACGATATGGTTTTCCGATTTTACTGAGTAACTCTGTATTTAACGAAAATTACAGAGTTACTCAGTAAAATCGGAAAACCATATCGTAAATCGTTCATTTGCAAAATATCAGTCCATCATCATCACGAACTGGACTGTTCCTGTTGCAAAAAAACATCACTCCATTGTGACTATTCATGCGTTTCATACAAATTCCATTCTGTTCCCCCCACGCTTCCTTTCTTGATCTTCCCCCATCTTTCCCCCGCCAGACATTACGTTGACACTCACGTCATATACTACTTATAAGTAGCTCGCACCACACTATGAGGACTTACTAAGTTGTTATACATCATCGGAAAAACAAGGTGGATAATTCATTGAGAAATTTAATTTGACAATGTAATGCATGCGTACTGCCACTGATGAGTAGTAGTCCCATAAACCAGGACGAAACGGCCATGTTTCAGTACTTCTTCCAGGTTTCTAATGGTGATGATCTAACAGTGATTGATCAATTTCAATGTGAAAAACAAAACACTCATCTCCATCACTCTAATTAAATAAATATAATGGACACTTTGATGAAATCACTGATCAGTGATCACAAAACTGAACTAAGTGATCTAAACTTCATTAGAATGTTTCATCACTGTTAATCATTAATAAATCCAAAGTGCTTGCCTCATCCAATCTTGATATTGATTGATCAATAGAAAAAAGTAATGAGAAATGATGCTGACGAAGCATTCGGAGCGATAAATCGATCAATTGAATAATTTAGGTGAACAACATTAAAACAATCCAACTTTAATTTTGATCAATGTATGCACAATGCCTACTACTCTATTAACTGACAACAACAACAACAACAACAAGAATCCAATCTTGTTTATTTATAGATGAGAAAAATAGTTGCAAACTTGACTGACACAATGCTGGTAATTGTCAAGAAAAAAAAGACGATTTTTTTGGTTTTGAAAAAAACAAGCCATTATGTTAACCATTCATTATTCAATGAATGATTTGTCAAATAAATAAAAGGCATTTAAGGTGGTATGCTAATGTATATTTTTTCTCTTGTGTTGACAACAATGTTTGGCACATATTTTGAAACTATAAAATCGATCATTGGTTAGACCAGCATTAGAAACTTGGGAAAAGCACAGGACGGCCGTTTTGTCCTGATATGGGACTCATCAGTGGCAGTGTGCATTCACGACTCCTGTAACTCGCAGTCATTCGAACCGAAGGACTTTCGGTTTTGTGCGCAGACGTCTAACCTCAAGGTGGTCTAACACTGATCGATTCATGGTTTAAAAAAATGTGTTACTTAACAATCTTCTAAACCCGGCATTGCAACATTGTTTGTAATGATAAGATTTCTATTTTGCCTTTAAATACACATGATAGAACTGTGGAGATTGTTGTGTTTTTACACACTCAAATCCCGAATCGATCATTGTAAGAACATCATTAGAAATCTGGAAGTACTGAAAGACACAACTGTTTCGACGCATAGTATGGGACTTATGAGTAGTGCGCATCCACAACTCCTATTACTCACTCAGAACTCGAACACAGGACATTCAGTCTTGTGAGTGAGCACTTATCCTCTCTAGACTACAGTGAGCCAACATTCATTGGTATTCAATGTCTAAATCTGATTCTGTCTTCAAGTAGTCACTGAATTCATCCGATAGAGGTGAACTTCTTCACTGGTCATATCCTTCTCACCTAGAACTTCGAGAATTTACAGGTGTGTTTATACTTCGCAGAAACTATGTACAGATTATGACGTTTTATTTGAAAATTTTAATTGGGTGAAAAAAGGTGCAAGATTCGATTCACAGTAGTTGTAAATAAACAATGCTAAATTACACAACAAAATCGTTGCATGTTAATTCATGATTATTTTAATTTTGATTGGTCACTAATTTTTTGTAGATTTTTGTTTTGGGGCAGAGTTTTGGAGGGTTCCGCTTGTACACATTTGAAATCATGGTAAGGCGTTCGCCTACAATGCCGAAGGTCCCGGGTTCGAATCCTGCGAGGAGCAGGAGTCGTGGATGCGCACTGCTGATGAGCCAGTTCCATACTAGGACGAAACGACCGTCTTTCAGTGCTTCCAGGTTTCTAATGGTGTGTGGTCTTACAATGATTGATTGATGATTTCTGTTTATTTTTGAGGGGGGCAGCATTCATTGATTTCCACATTTTTATCACCTGCTTACTTACCTTCGCTTGTTAAGCCTAATGGAGTATAGGCCACTGACCAGAGAACTGTTTTTCCGGTTAGCGAATTTTTTATAACGAGTTGGATTTTAACGAGATAGAGTCACTAACTTCATGCCCAACCCATGTCCTCCTTTATCCGTCGGGCTTAGGACCAGCAGAAACCCTAGAACGGCTCCAGGCGGAGTTAAGGTGGAGTTTAATTTTACTGAAATACTGCCTTAAAAAAATTTAAATGTGTAGGATTTTACTCATTGGAATTTCATTATCTCTCCACACACACAAAAATGAATCAATGACTCATGTAAATAATCAACACTTGATAGGAATTTTCACTATTTTTTTCATGTCACACAGAGTCCACACAAAAGCAACAATCAGTGTATTTAAATTGTTTATTTATGCATCTTTTAGTTCTATTTGTGTATACTATTTGACGAAACAACGTATTCAAACGTTAGACACAGTCATTGGAAAACAGCTACACTCACCTGTGTTTAATATACACGTCCTACTACTACTACTCCGACTACTACTACTACTACTACTACTACTACTCACACTACTACTCACACTACTACTACTAATACTACTACTCACACTACTACTACTACTAATACTACTACTCACACTACTACGACTACTACTACTACCACTATTGCTACAACTACTACTCACACTACTACTAGTACTACTACTACTACCACTACTACTCACACTACTATTACTACTACTCACACTTCTACTACTACTACTACCACTGTTGCTACTACTACTACTCACACTATTACTAGTACTACTACTACTACCACTACTACTCACACTACTACTACTACTCACACTACTACTAGTACTACTACTACTACCACTACTACTCACACTACTACTACTACTACTACTACTCACACTACTATTACTAATACTACTATTCACCCTACTACTACTATTACTACTACTACTACTCACACTACTATTACTAATACCACTACTCACCCTACTACTACTAATACTACTACTCACACTACTACTACTACTAATACTACTACTCACACTACTACTACTACTACTACCACTATTGCTACTGCTACTACTACTACTACTACTACTCAACCTACTACTAATATTATTCACACTACTACTACTAATACTACTACACACACTACTACTACTACTACCACTATTGCCACTACTACTACTACTACTCACGCTACTATTACTACTACTACTACTACTACTACTACTACTACTACTACTACTACTACTACTACTACTACTACTACTACTACTACTACTACTACTACTACTACTACTACTACTACTACTACTACTACTACTACTACTACTACTACTACTACTACTACTACTACTACTACTACTACTACTACTACTACTACTACTACTACTACTACTACTACTACTACTACTACTACTACTACTACTACTACTACTACTACTACTACTACTACTACTACTACTACTACTACTACTACTACTACTACTACTACTACTACTACTACTACTACTACTACTACTACTACTACTACTACTACTACTACTACTACTACTACTACTACTACTACTACTACTACTACTACTACTACTACTACTACTACTACTACTACTACTACTACTACTACTACTACTACTACTACTACTACTACTACTACTACTACTACTACTACTACTCACACTACTACTACTACTACTAATACTACTACTACTACTACCACTACTACTACTACTACTACTACTACTACTACTACTACTACTACTACTACTACTACTACTACTACTACTACTACTACTACTCACACTTCTACTACTACTACTACTACTACTACTACTACTACTACTACTACTACTACTACTACTACTACTACTACTACTACTACTACTACTACTACTACTACTCACTCTACTATTACTAATACCACTACACACACTACTACTACTACTACTACCACTACTATCACTACTGCTACTACTCACAATACTACTACTACTACCACTATTTCAAACAATTAAAAATCAGGGGACAACAACTGATCAAAATGTAGTCATTTTATCAAAATGTATGATTCATTGCATCATTAAAAAAAAATGTCAAATTATGCCATGTTTTAACTAATACGTTTTCAGATTTACTTCTTTTTTTTTTGTATACTCGACATGTGATCACAGTGTACATACAGTTTAGTTTATTGAAACAATAAAAAAATTCAACGTATTATCTGCCTTAATTAATGTCAGTAAAGAAAAAAAATAAAAAGCGTATTCCAAACAGTAG